ACCATTTATCTAGTATCTTCCAAGGTCCAAATTGTCTGGGTTTACACAGCTGGTAGGTGGAGGGGCTGGGATTTTAACCCAGATCATATAACCCTAGATTTTATTTATATTAACTCTAACGGAGTTGAATACCATGATTGATTGTTTGCCATATGTACAGGTGGATGGAAGAATGGCATATCATGCATTTTCCATCCTTGAATTCTACTCTTTTCCCCATTTTTCAGTCATTTTTCTCCTTCCCCTCTCACACTCAGTCAAATTAAACTACTTTCTCTTCCCCATGTTCTATGTTCTTATGCTTTTGTATGGGCTGTTCCCTAGGCCTGGAACACCCTACCTTTTGCCATTTGCTGGTGTCTTAGTCTATTTGGACTGCTATAACCAAGTACCATAGACTGGATGGTTTATGAACAACAGAAATTTATTTCTCACAAGTCTGGAGGCTGAGACCAGGGTGCAGCGTGGTTAGGTTCTGGTGAGGGCCCTCTTCTGGGTTGCAGATTGCTGACTTCTTGTTGTATCCTTACATGGTTTATGCGACAGAGAGCAGAGAGCAGAAGCAAGTCTCTGGTGACTTTAATAATGCAGGGGCTGGGCCTAGAAGAAAGGATGCATGGATGGATGGATGGATGGATGGATGGATGGATGGAAAGAGCGCGAGCACGGTGAATGAAGGATCAGGTGAAAACGCCTGCCCCAAGCTGCTTGTTTGCTGTGTGCAAAAGTCAGCTGAAAACAGCTGACCTGTATGGAAGTTGTTAAAGAAATTAGCAAACGGCCCTGACCCTTTGCACGTGTCCTTGGAAATAAATACAGGGAGGAACTCGGCTGAGGAGGCCATTTTCTCCTTTAGATTTTGGTCTCTCTCCTTCTCTCTATATACTATGTGTTTCAAGTAATTATTCATTCTTTCGCTAGCGAGCTCAGGAGTGAAAAAGCAGCCGCAACAAATAAGGACACTAATCCCATTTGTGAGGGCTCTATCCTTATGGCCTTATCTGATCCTAATTACCCCTCAAATGTCCCACTTCCTAATACCATCACACTTGGGGGGAGGGTCAACATATAAATTTGGAGGGAACACAGTCTATAACAGCTGGTTAACTCTTAAAGGTTCTTTGGAATTCAGCTCAGGCATCGCTTCTTGCAGAAAGCATTCCCTTATTTCATCAGTCAGAATTGGTGCTCCTCCTATATGCTTTCTTTTAATGTTATGTGCCTCACTTGTAACGTAAAACTTTTTATTTTGAATTGTGATAGCTTCTCTTATTATAAAATGAGCTAAAAGAGGTTAAGTAGTGTGTTTGTTGAATGAATGCAATCTGATTCTTCACCTCATTGCTGTTCCAAATTATCTGTTTTTTTCCTAAGGTTTACTTGTTTTCTATGTCCAAATTTATAATTGTAAAGCATAGGTGTTGGACCACAGGAGATTTCTAGCTCTCTTATCTTTTTCTTATATCAGTTCAGAGTGTCCAAACATCTTATTCAGCAAGTTTTGTCCATTCACATTTGTGTTGTCTATTACATGCATGTAATACGGTGTTTCCTTCCATAAACCATTCTCTCTCTTCTGTGGCTAAGCTTGCTAAATATGAAACCTCCATCTAAAAATCAACTTGTTGGGAAGGGTATATGGGGGCTTGGACTGTATTTATAGGGTCTTATTTCTTAATTAAGTTGAAGGAGTATGGAGGGCCATATATTATCTACACACATTTTAAATCTGAAATATTTTATAAAAATGAGAACATATTTTTATATTCTCTATAAAGAAAACCAACTTTTCCACAAAAATTTCTTCTGTGTTAAATCTGTATACAGTCACATTGAATGGAAAAATGTATTGGTTATTAAAACACAGTTACATAGATATACAATGTTTTCCTGGCTGGATTTATATGACAGATGGATACTAGAAATCTTGGGTAATCTATGGGCCTTCACAAATGAAAGCAATTACGTTTAGAGAAGCTGTTTATCATTAGATAAAAAGGTAATTAGCAATTATAAAGCAGTCTATGGAGCTTCTGATTATAATATAGCAATGGATGGATTTCTAGGACTTGGCAAATTGGTGGTTTATATCTTTTTTCTTTACAAACATACTTAAATCTCTCACTGGGCAATTTCTTGAGTGGAGGGTAGGAAACTTTGAGCTAATTCATATCACATTCTAATATATCCATTTCTTGAGACAGGATAGCCAGGTTATATATATGAAGCAAGTAGACTGAAAAACAGAAAATGAGTGAAAGCCTGGATGATCTTTTCTCAAGTTCATATCCTCAAGCAAGAATCTTTTTCCTTTCTGTTGCTTCTTTCTGTAATGATGACACCCACAAAGAGAAAAATAAATGCTTTCCTCTAGTTAAAAATTTACTTGTACTAGTTAAGTATCAGTGAAAACTATCCTTATTTTAGCCAATAGCTAAAGCTACAAGTTTACAAGGTGAGAAAAATTTCTCCCCCATTTGAATGCTGTGAAATATATTTTTAAAAGTGTCAGGGAGGGAGGCCAGTTTGTAGGCTCACACGTTGGACTTCCATATTTCTGGTATCACAAACAGTCATTTTTGAGCAAGATGGCTGTTGCTGGCAGAATGAGGGGACCTCACTAATTTAGTTAAAAACTATTAATAAGTAGGTTATATCCCACTACAGCAAATATCACTCCATAGAAAAACTCTGCAGCAATATTTTTTTCCAGGATTCAAGCACTAATCACTTTATTTCACAAAATAACAGAATTTGATAAAAACTCCAATAAAGAGAATTGAGAATTTCTTGGAATCCTTTAAAATAGACTCAACTCCTTTATTTAGCTAGTATAGAAAATTAAAACTACTAGCATAGCTATTTTACTGGAGGGTTTGCTTGTATGTAGGTATCCTGTATCAGGAGGTACAACTTGTACTTAAATTTAACCAGTACTGGCTTCAGAATTGTGGCATAAGGGAGGCTGGAGGAGGTTCTGGGTTGGGCCTTGGGAATCTGCATTTTAACAAGTACCTCAGGTGATTTTGTTCCATATGTTGGAAAAACCCTTAGAGAGTAACTCTTAATAATGCTCAACTGGAAATTTGTTTTAATTAAGAAGGGCACAAAACAAGTGAAGCTATCACAAGGAGTTGATCAGTTTGGCATGGTTGACAAAGGGCAATGGGTTCTTTTTGAAATATTAAGTTGACTGGAATCAAACCTAGTTGTGGATCTAGCTTTTCCATTTGTTCCACTGAATAGTCTTTGAAGTATTTATTACCTATGAATTATTTTGGGCCTTTAAAAAAAATCAATTCTCAAAAATTATGTGGAAACTTTCTTCTGCTTACAGAGTTTTTACGTCATTAGTGATTTGTGATGCAGAGTTAAGTTTTCCTTGCTAAAGAATGAGTCCATCGATCTAGCAGCTTATGCAGGTGTTCTCAAGCATGGCTGGATATCAAATTACTGGTGGAACTTTTTAAACCTACAGCTGACTAGGCCCCATTCCTCATTCCAATCAGATCTCCAAGCACAGGGCCCCACAATCTATTTCCTTAAATACCTTGCAGCTAGGCTTGAGAACCACTGGTTTAATGAAACTTTCTTTGTTGCTTTCAGTCCTGTTTTTCTTGCTAAGATGTTTCTTTACTCCTGCCATAGCCAGAACCATTGTTGTGATAGATTTAATATGTTCTCTGTAATTCTGAATTTTGTACAATTCCATCTCTGATAGGAGCAATGTGATAAACAATGTCTGAGATTGTTAAGTGGGCTTCACTTCTGGGGCTGAGAAGCCAGAGAGGCCTAAGACACCCTGACAAGGGTGAAATTTTCTCTAAGTGGCAGTTTGATCACTTTGATGAATAGTGAGAGACAACTGCTTGAATCAGTGTTATATCATACCTGATCAGAAGAGATGGGGGAAGAAAGCTTTGGAGAATTTAGCACTTAAGACTCTTGAACCACCTTAGTGTACACTATTGGGTAATAAGAGCTTGGCTATGCTGGACAACAAAGGTTCTAGCTGGCCAATCTGAAAACATTGAGGGCTTTGGGTCCAGTCTGAAAGATGGGAGAGGCACTAGGTTTCCTGACTTCTTGACTGTGTAATTACTGGCAAGAATATTTGGACAATTTTTAAGATCCCCAAGGCAGAGTATTTTACAAACTTTTTGGCTTACACCTGAAATGTCCAAGGTGCTGTGACCATGTTTTTTCCACATGCTTCTTTCTGAGCTTGCCTGTGTAGTTCTATGACAGACCGTAAGTTTCCAGAAAGAAAGCAGGGACCACTTATATCGCCACTCTGGCCAAGAGTCTAGCACCGTCACACATGCCCAATACTTCAGGATGAACATAGACCGAGCGTTTTCATCAGTGAGCTTTCCCTCTCCCCTTCTCGTTTCTACACTCCAATCACCAAACTGGCACAGGTGCGGCTCCATAGCCTAAGAGCGAGAAATGTGGAAATTAGGCACACCTTCCGTCAGCTGGCGCCCAAACTACAAGCGTCACCAGCACGCCCCACGTTTAGTCAGTCACTGAAATGCTTTCCATCACTGGAGGAAGGACGAAAGGTCGCAAAACTTACAAATAACATGGAGCGGGGGCTATAGCCAATCCTTTCCAACAGGGGCTATTCGAGGCGTGCTCCTCAGAGCTGGAGCATCGTTATCACACTTGGGAGTTTGCTAGAATTGTAGAATCTTGGGTACCTACCCCAGACTTTTTGTATCAAAATCCGTAGTTTAAAAAGATACCTATATGATTCTTATTTACATTAAAATTTGAGGAAACAATTGATCTGGTAATTGATCAACTGAGTGCCACTCAAGCCCCAGAAAACAGAGCTCAACCCTTTGTGCCCACCTCGCACTAGCTCAGATTGGTAGCAACCGAACCCCCAGGGACATCGGAGCGGGCGCTGCCGAGGGCAATTTGGTGATTGGCTAGTCTGGCCACGTGACTAGCGCTGGGCCTTCCGTGCGACCGGATTGGCTCTCGTGGACGCTGACGGACAGGGCCGGGGCGGGCCAGAGCCGGGTCGGAGGGGCGCGCGCGGGGGCCGGAGGGGCGAAGGCGCGAGAGCGCGTGCGCGAGCGCGAGCGGCGGGGCTTTCTCCGTAGCCGTCGGAGGGAGCCGGAGCGCTTCTCCGGAGGTAAGCGGCGCCGCGGGGCGGCTCCTGCTGTCCCTCGCATGCGGGGTCCCAGAGAGCAGCTTGAGCAGGGCTGGGCGGGGCAGGGGGAGGTGTGGGGTCCGCCTGCCTGGGGAGCCCCGCTTCAGGAAGGATGCAGCCCCGGTTCAGCCACCCCTCTCGTTGCCTCGGTTTCCCTTTCCTACCCTCTGGTCCACCTTCCCATCCTCTCCACCTCGGCGACGGGTCTGCCCGAGGGGAGTTACCCACCTGGCAGCCTTGCCTCCGCCTTTGTTTCCCGCCCGGAGGGATGCTGGCTTCAGCCCCCTCCCCAGGTAAAGGGTGCGGGTGGTGGGGCGGGGATGTCACGGGCGCTAGACTCGGGCTTGGGCCAAGGAGGAGGTGGCTTTAATGCTGTGGGACCTGTCACATGGGAGAATGAGGGAAAAGAAATGTAGTGTCACTTTGGCCGAGCCGGTGGGGCTCGAACTAATCTGGCGGCTGCGAGCGAAGCCGATTCCTAGCGCAGCTGTGCGAAGAGCCCTTCTGGCTTGGTGCGGGCCGGGGTGGGCGGCATCCCCGGTGGACTGAGCCCCGATGCCGCCCGGAGGCGGCTTCTCCGCCCGCTGGACCTGCACACCAGCTCTCACCCCAGAGTTTCATCTCGATTGAAAGCTTTGAGCCTGCCAGAGGAATCCAGAGATTCGTTAAGAGGCTAAATTTTTATTAAAAAACAAAACAAAACAAAACACTTGGGCACTGGTTGGACCATGTCTAAATGAGAGGCTACAAAAAGGAATTACAGATGCAGTGTAACTGATGACTGGTAAATGGTGAGGAGGGAAATGCCTGCAGTGAATTGCAGACTAGACCACCACACTGAGATTCTTCTTCAGGAAGATAAGATTTTTGAGGGTAGAGGGTGGTAATTTCTGTAAACTGAGATTTGAAAGGGGCTGTCCAAGTGGGTGATTATTTTCATCATGTTAATGGGCTGCAGGGAGAGGGAAGGCAGAATCTAAATTAAACCTATTCAAACCTCCTCAATTCTTTGAAAAGTGTGTGTTTAAAGACCATTTGGCTGCCAAAAGAGGTGTGTGGGGGGGTTGGGGGGAGCGATGTCGCCTTTATATCATACTTTAAAAAGGGGAGGGTGTGTCCAGGAGCTTAAGAGCAAGTAAAACTGTGCGAGGTATTCCCTGCCTCTCCTCCATTTCCCCAGACCTGCAATAGCAAGGGCGTATTGTGCATCTTACAGTGAAACATAAAAAGTCCTTTCAGTTTTCCACTGGTTAACTTGTTAATTTGTTGAATGTACCTGGTAATATCAGTAAGAAATGGTTCAGCTGTCATTATAAAGACTACCATATTCTGGAGTTCCAGTGTAATTCATCCAGAACTTACTCTGATACGAGATGGGCAAGAATCTCTTTACTTGACTCATCCAAAACATTCTAATACCACTTAAAAGCCCTTTGTTACTCTTACCCTCTCCTACAGTTAAGTTTCTTTAGGAAATCGGATGATTTCGAACATCTAGAACATATACCAGGCCAGTGAAATCAGTTTACTAGGCAAGTTAATTTTTTTTTTTTTTTAAAGAAACACTTAAATTTGTCAGGGGGATCAAATTCGGGTTTATCAGCTGCAGTAAGTCAACTTTTGATGGTTTTTTGAGATGAATGAAAGTAAAAGCATAGAAGTTGCTGCAAAGCTCATTGGGAATATCACAGATGACCTCAGTAAAGTGAAATGTAGGTTGTCACCTGATAGATTGGAACACAAAACAAATTAGAATAATTTAAAACTTGTTTAGTGATTTTTTTTTTTTTTTAAGCTGGTACGCAGTGGAGGGGAGGAAGCAATTCTGAGGGTGAGGTAGGTGGCATAGTTTAAAAAGGTATACATTTTTATTTCTAGAAAACTGTCATTTTTGTTACATAAACTACACAAAGGGCTTGCAATGCTTATATTTAGTCTGTGGAAGGGAGGCAGGTTTTGAAAAGGTTAAGAAACACTGATTAGATTATGCAAGGATCAACAGGAAGGTTGGCAGGCTTAGTTCATCTTGAGGGAAGCCACATACCTCAGTGACCTATAGGACAAGGTTTTGTTCTGATTCAATAAAAGCCCACTAGTGTTGCTTTCAAAGCAACAACAAAATCATTTCCTTTCTGTCATTTCTATCCCCTGGGTCAGAGGCGGGGAGGATGGAGAGTGAACAAGAGAGATTAGAGTCCGAACTGCATGCTTAAGCAGTAGTGTCCTTTGAGGAGGATCTGTGTCACATTGTGTAACTATAAGAGCTTTCACGTTGAGAGGGGTCTGAGCTCCTTCCTTAGGATGCATGCTGTAAGATAGAACTGGATAACAGTGCCACAGGTGGGGCCACTGGGTGAAATCATCTGATAGGAAAGCAGTGGGGAAAGAGGACAGCCAGGATATGTTTAATTCAGTGGGACTCTGCTTGATTTAGAGGCTTGAGGAGGCATTTCCAGGCAGCGCTGCCTCATTATTGGCTAGCCTGACTGGGCTTTACATGGCTTCCAGAGGACTTGCCATTCCATGGTGAAGGCTTCTGTGGAGGTTGCATGTCTCGGGTTGTAAGTATCAGTTGTGCTTTTAATGTGTTCTTGAAAAGAAAGGATTACAAAAACGCAAATCGAGGCTGCGGTTCTCTCGGGTCTTTGGCTCCGGCCACCCACAGGCTTCCAGAAAACAGGCTGTACTCTCCCTACCAGTAGATGGCACTGCTGCCTCTGGGAATTGCTGGAGGAGATGAATGCTGGAGCTGGCGAACCACCCGTAGGTAGCCTGTAGTCTAGAAGATTTTGAAAGGCTGTGTCAGCTCCCAGTCAAAGAGAATCTCAAAATAGTTCTGAAGGCCAAAACTGTTTACATAAGGTAGGAATACTGTGTATTGTGGGGATTAAGGAATAGCTTTGATTACTTTGCACTCGTGTGTGTGCTTCTGAGGGGAGAAGGCAGAGAATAAACTGCCGATTAAGTATCACAGTATAAGTCTTTAAAAGCACTTGGCATACATGTTGGTTAATTAAACACGATATTCAAATCATGCGATCAACATTTCCAACAACTTCTTTGTTTCTAGTTATTTGTATGTAAAGCTAGTCTGCACACATGGGCAGGGTAATGGAAATGTATATGTGATTTAAACCTGAGCAGTAGCCAGTAATTACATGCTCTGAAGACAGCAGTGAGAGTATTAGTAAAATTAATGCTAGTGAAGTAGTCAACGGTATTTTAAGGCTGTCCACAGAAGACAGGTTAAAAGTTACACTGAATTATTTTCTTCTAAAACTTAAATTCCTAACAAGTGTTTTCAGATTTTCTTAGCTGAGGCTGACCCTTCAAGATTGTATTAATAGCCCAAAACTTGAAGTTTGCTTTTATTGACCTTATTAGCCAGGATTCATTCATTCATCCTCCTCTTTTGAAATAGCTATTCTTTGACTGCTGTTGACTGTTCTTTGAGATGAATTTTGTGGACATGAAATGTGAGAGACGTGGGTACTTTGCTAGTGATGGGGAGGTTACAGTGCGTAATGAGGGCCTCAACTTTGACCCTGGGTACCATTACCCCCGTCACCTATGTCCTCGTGCAGTTCCTGTCCTCTGGCTGGGCTTATCTGAGGTTTATTTCTGTCTCTCTTAAAATGAATTGATGAGCAGGTTTTTACTACAAAGGCTGAATCCTAAAATCCTGCTGGTGCTAGATAGCAGTAGTCACAACCATCCATTAATGTTGCCTCATTATGTCACTACAAATAAGTCTCTTCACCTTTCTGAACCTTATTTTTCTCACTTATTCGCTGGGATTGGAGAGCTAGTGGGTGTCTCTTAAAAATCTCTTCCAAGTCTGAAGTTCTATGATCAGGTGATTCTCATAAGGTATTTCTGAAGCCTGTGAAAAATTCTCATTTAGAAGGTATTTTCACTCTGTGAGCCTAGGTCAAAAAGAAATCTTGCTAATGTTTCTTCCCAGAAAAATGATTATGTATTGTCTTAGAGTCCTAATAGTTCACAGTAGGAAAAAACCCTTCATGGTTTAACTATAGACAGGAAATTTGAACTTAGAGCTGAGTGACTAGGCCAACCTAACAGAACTAGTTATTGGCACAGAACTAGTTAGAAGACTGGGACCCAAGCTCAGGACTCTACACAGTCTTCCCTTCTCCAATGCTGCCATTTTTCACCTGCCATCATGCCACAGAATGTGCTGTGTCTACAGGCCTGGGGCCAAGAAAATTCTGAGTGATTCCTTAATGTAGGATTTTAAAGCCACAGCGTGAATTGCTTTGAGTTTTGGCAGAAATTCAAGGTCAGGCTTCTCTTTGCAGCACATTCTTTTCTTCATTAACTGACTCTGAGCAGGATTCTTTACTGTGCATCTTAGAGTTTTTAAGACTTTTCTGTGTATACTGTTTCCTGTAAGAAGAAACATTCATCATCCTATAAAAGTCATTTCCTAATCAGATGTTCTTAAATTGGGTCTGTGGACTTCCCCCAGGGTCTGTGTGGATAGAAGAGTATTTCCATATAATTCACTTCCTTTGTAATCTAATATATTAAATGTATAAGATAAAATACATTATTCTGAGGAGGGAGTCCTTAGGCTTCAACAGACTACCAAAGGCGACTATGGCACAAAAATAGAATAAGAATTCTAGAGTTGGTTCTGGAAAATTGCCAGGATGAGAGTGTTCTTGACTGAAGAGCTAAAGATGTTATGGTGGAAGGAGGGAGTACAGAAGTAAACCTGTGGAGTTTCTTAGGAACATTTCTACCTTTTTAAAAATTGCTCACTAAATGAAGATGCTAATAATAGCATTTAATCCATCTTAAATTAATAATGGATATGCAAGAATTGATTTCCATTTATCATTTCTTGCTCAATAAGTACTGTCTCCTAATTTTATCAAAACACTTTTAAATTCTTGTTGCTTTCTTGGTGGTGATGTGCATACCAAGGGGCTCTTGTTTCCCTAATCTGATCTGACTTCCAGATATTCATTGCCTTTCTGATTTATGACTTCTGTCGTTAACTTCTGAGGTACTACATCTTGTGTTAACTCTAAGCTCCTAGTTCCCACCATGATCCTCCCAGAGATGCAAAATACTTTACATGCCAGGGATTTTAAAAAAACACATTTATATTCCTTTACTTGTACCCAGGGTTCACCATATAAGTCACTGCTTCTCCTCAGCTAATTATTTTATGTTTGCAACCCCAAGTTATCTAATTGTCCCCACATAGGAGTGAGCAGATGAGTTTGCAGATGTTTAAAATAAAAATTCTTGCTGTGTTTTTTAAAATTCTTGTTTTTGACAGAAGGTATACAGAAGTTATTTTCTGTGTTCAAGTCACATTTTGGACATGTGAGACATAACTTTGGGGAATCGCTACATTTTGAAGAACATTTTGCTTGAAATCTCTTGCTTTGTGACCTGTGACACCTTGCCTACATTTGGTACAATGGCAACCCATGCTGGTGAATATCATCTTCTGGTACATTTTTGGGTGGGCCAAAGTAATATTCTTGCTTTAGCAATAAGGTTATAATTGGGCTTACAACATATTATGTTAGGTAATAAGTCAAATTTCTACATTCTAATCCCAGCACCCTGCTGAGTTGTTATGAGATTTTAGGGGCATCACTGACTTCTGAGTTTGTTTCCTTGGCTGGAAAATAAGGGAGAAGAGTAGTGACTAATTAACTTTCCTTTTCTGAAATCAGGTGACTATGAAATTCTGATACTCAGACTAAATATAACCTAAAAATGCAACCTATTTGGGAGTTCATTTATAATCAATCAAGGTTAGTGTCAGGATAATAATTCTTTTTCTGCAAATCAATTTGTGGTTTATGCAATATTCTCTAACCCTTTCTCTTTTCTACCCAAAGCATCTCTATTGGGCAGGTACATCAGTATCACATGGGAGCTTGTTAGAAATGCACAATCTCAGGCCTCACCCATTACCTACCAAATCAGAATCTACATTTTTTTCAAGATACATAGAGGATGTGCATGCACATTAAAGTCTGAGAAGTACTGCTTTCTTTCATTCTGAGTCTTACATCCACTCTGTAAGAGGGGCAGGGTATTTTACAGATGGCGAAACTGAGACTCAGAGTAGTTAAGGAAGTTAAGATTACTGTGTTAGTGTATCATCCAAAATGCTATACTCTAAACCTAAGGGTGCCTCCTTGGTTGGTCTGGAGTCAGCTTTGTACAATAGAGACTACTTGCTGCCCTGTAGCCCGTTGGATCAGGTATGGCTATGTGATTGAGTTTTAGCCAACCACAGAAAGTGAGTGAAAGTAGAAAATCGTGATCCACTTCTAGGAACCAAAACAAACACACACACACACACACACACACACACACACACACACACACACACACACACACACGAAGAGAGAGCGCCCATGCAAGCTCCTCCATGCTATTTTCCATTCCTAGCTGGCTAGAATGGAGAGGACCCTTAGGGCATCCTTGGAAATTATATTTGAAAGATGGCAGCCTGGGTGCCTTGATCACTGCCTCAGGGCCATCACTGACTGACATGTCTACCTGTCCAGTATGCAAACAGGAACCAGAAATAAACTTGTATTGAGCTTGAGCCATTATACGTTTGGGTCTATGCATTAAGCACTTAGTCTACTCTAACAGATTCACTCGAAGAGTGGCTTGGGACTTGAAGTTGTGGTCCTTTGGCCTAATGCATCCATTCATTTTTGTCTTTGGCAGTTGCTGATCGATTGGTGGTGGGTCCAACATGCAAGTGAGCGAGCGGTGAAAAGCAGCAGAGCCGATGGGTCGTGAGGATGTGAGTGGGTTTGAAGGCTTCCACACCCTCTACTCCAGGGTAGGACAAAGGCATTCTCTGCCATTGTTTTTCTGGCTTTGCCAAGTCCTAGAGGCTTTTGTCTTGCCATTGTCTTGGAGTCAGTGCGATGAGAACTGTTCTCCCTGAGCCTTTATTGATTCATCATAGACACCATGCAAATCCAATTACAAAGAGAAAACTATGATCAAAGGTGATGGGATGGGATCTGTGCATAGAAATATCTCAACACAGGAATTGTCAGAGTTTGTGTAGGATGTGATTTATATAGAAGGGGTTATTGAGCCTCCTTGTAGTATGCTGCAGAGAAGGAAACTGGGGCTGATTGTCGTGTTCTTGTAGCCATATCATATTAGCTCTGCTAGCTCATATTTCCCTCCCCCACCATCTTCCTTGTTGGTCACTCTGCTTAACTTTTCCTTCACTAATCACTTTTTTATTGAAAGGAAATAACTCCTCAGAGTCGAAAATTTCCAGTTTGGTGGATAATGGCACTAACAAAGCACATGGTTCTGCCTATTCCATTTTATTTTACCCAGCATCACTGGAATTCACATGCCCATTCTCTCCTCATCTGTTTGCAGCCCCTAGTGCAATGCATATAGGCATCAGGAGCATAATAACTGAAGCTATGATTAATATAAATCTAAGCAGAGCTAAGGATAGTTAGCAAAGAGGGACAGGAGGTTAAAAAAAAAAAAAAGGACTCAGCTGAAAACTGGAGGGTTATTTTAAGCAACTTGGCTCAATGCTGTTGAACCCTTGCTAGATAATTTCCCATTTCCCAGGCATAGTCAGAGGGCATCCAGAAAGGCTGACATCCTTAGGTGCCTCACATGGTCAGTAGTGAGTATAGTTTACTGAACAAAATATGCGATTAGGGGATGTAGATCTCTGGAGATTCCAATAAGTGTATGTCATTGTTGCTGTGAAGTACTTGGAGGTAATCAAAGCAGGAAAAAGGTAGCTGTAAAGCACATCAACGATGGAAGAGTCCAGGTGAGCAGCCAGGTGCAGACTCGGGCCTGGAGGTTGCTAAGGAAAACAGCTGGGCTTTGCCAGGCTTTCTCATTAAAAGAAAGGAGCTGGACTTTGCTAACTGTCCTCAATTTCCTCTGTAGATTCCATATATTCTCTATTTTAAAACTAAAAAGTATAGCAAGACAGAAATAGCACTTGACTGGCATATTTTTTGTGTAAAGCCTGTACAAGGATGAAATTGTAGAGGGAACCCTTCTTTAACTATTGATTAGGGGCCAAAGAAAGTAATGGTAGAGATGCCAGTGAACCAAGGCTTCTTGCACTATTGATATTTTGAGTCAGGATATTCTTGTGTGGACTGTCCTGTGCATTATATAATATGTTTAGCAGTGCCCTTGGCCTCTACCCACAAATGCCAGTAGCACCCCCTACAGTTGTGACAATCAAAAATGTCTCCAGACATTGCCAAACGACCCCTAGGAAGCAAAATTGTCCCTGGTTGAGATCCTTTGCTGAAGGAATACAATGATTTAATCTTGTTGTGAGTTTCTCTGGTTCTGAATTTTAATCATTTAACTTCATTTTGCTTCAGTTTCCCTGTCTGTAAAGAAGACACATATTAATAACTCAGTAGCCTAAAGAAATCATGTACATCATAGTATTGTGTGACTACTTGGGGACTCTGTAAATGCTGAGAAACAGTACCTGTCCCCCCAAATTTCTAGAACCCGTCCTCCCAAATTTCTAGGATCACTCTGATCTTTGTGTTAGCAATAACAGAGGAACAGTGGGAGTTTGAAAAATGGCAAAGGTTAGTGATATGGGAAATAATGAACAGTACTGGAGTCTGAGTTCATTCAAAGGCATCATGTTCTGATTCGTTGTGACGGTATATTCTGGATGAAGGCTTTTCTTTGCAAAGTTAAGAAAGGGAAGAGTGGATGAGGCAGAAAGAAGGCTGTTCATAAGAACAGTAAAAAAAAAAAAATTGCATTTGGGTGATTAAGGGTGATATTTTAATGTTAAAGTGACTCATGTATAATTAGACCAAAGGACATAAAGAAGTAGCCCCTGAAAGAAAAAAATCCTCCCGAATGACTGGGCTGGTCTAATCAGTTTTTGCAGAAAATACAATAGAGATCAGAGAATGTTTGGAGAAATATGCCTTTATTCTAGAACCTTTACATTTCTCTTTTTTCTCCTCTTTGGGAATATGGAAAGGGATTATCTTTTAATATATGCCTGTTGAGTGATAAATAAGATGTTTTAATGTGACGTGTGTTTTTAATACTCTTCTAGTACTATGTGTTGGGATGGTAAAATAGGCCATAACTGACCTAGACCTGAAGTAATCTACATTATTTTAATAGAAAACCTCAGTTCAACTTAAAAATGGGGCCAGTGCAGGGATTAGATGTAAACTGTCCTGGCAGGTTTGAGTTACCCCTTGCTGTGTTTCTGGTGCCATGATTATTAGACTCGCAAATTTTACAACAAATGCACTCCACCTTGGATCTAATATGTGGAGAATCCATCATAGATAGTTTGCCTTGTTTATTTGAGTTCTGTCATACATTTATGGTCCTAGATGTTAAGCAAAACTTGTAAGAATGTTTGAGAAGGATTCTATGTACTGTGAAGAAAGTGGCACTTCAGTGTAGAAGAAAGGCGACAAGCGAAAGACGCACCACTGTGGCAGGAGTAGGCTGGTGTTTGAATGCTGAAGTTTTTATTCAGTGCTGTTCAGAGTGTGGCTCCTGTACCAGCAGCATCAGAATCATTTGTACTTGTTAGAAATGTACAGATCTCCTGAATCAGATTTCTGGGAGTGGGCCTAATAATCTGTTTTAACAAGACCCCAGGTGACCCTGATGGGTGCTAAAATTTGAGAAGCTCTGCTATATCTAGTGATTTCTAATGTAGTGCCATCTTACAGATTATGTCTGTGTGTCTGTGGTGGAGAGGACACTGAGAAAGTATTTTACCAGGTGATCAGAATATACATAAGATTTCCTTAGATAACCTCTTGGATCATTTTTCCAAACCATGGTCTAAGCCTTTTCCTGCATTGTCCAATACAGTAGCCGTTAGCCACATGTGGCTATTTTTATTTAAATTAATTAAAACTAAATAAAAATTCAATTCTTCATTTACACTAGCCACATTTCAAGTGCTTTGTAGCTACATGTTCTTAATGACTACTGTATTGGACAGTGCAGATACAGCATGTCCATCATCAGTTCTGTTGGACAGCACTGCTTTTGCCTATGAAGACCCCTGTTTTTTAGAAACCCACAGTTGTAGTAACAGTGTGTTCTTGTTATTAATATTAATATAACAAGGCCTCAACTCATTTAAAACAATTGAATTTTGGGCTTTTCCATCCTGGGGAGGCTTTCAGTCTGAGTGTATCTTGCTGAACTTTTTACCTTGCTGTGGCATCTGTCTGCCATGGATCCATCTCTTACATTATTGAATGCTCTGCTTCCAAAATATTTGGCCTTTAGTCCAAGGCTGCTGAGCTGTCTCTGTTTGGTTTTTCTCTGCCCTGTCCCTTGGTGGTGAGGCTTGTTTGTGCAAGATGTCTCTCTTGATTCTGCCTAGAGCTTTACAAAGAGTTTGAAAGAGGTGGCAAGAGAATTTTCACCTCCTTGCTTTCCAAGCCACAGCTTTGCTCAAAAAAGTGTTTCATAATAGGATATTAATTCACAAGCTTAACCTCTGAGGAGTTATCCCCTGAAGAATTAGTCTCTAAAGCAAATTTTCCAACAGACATATTACAGCACAGATTTGGTAATTAAGCCCTTTAGCAACATGGAAGAATTTTCAGTTGATATTATCTATTAATATTAACGATATTAGTTGCTCAGAAACTATTATAATTAGAACAAATGAAAAGAGATGTCAGGCAGTGCAAAGGCAATTTATGTAACCAAAGTGCTTGTACCCTTGTAATACTCTAAAAAATGATTTTTTAATTATTTTTTTTTTTGTTAAAAATATCTTTCCAGTAAAAAATGTGGAAATATAAACAATTTTTAAAAGACGTAATTTAAAGTTAACTGAGCCCAAGGTGGTTTTGCATGGTAGAGGGAATGAGAATGAGGACTTTGTGGCAGTTAGTATTAATGTTTTGCTGGAGGTGAGGGGAAGAAAGTGGAGGGAGCCTGGAATTGATTCTTGAGGAGCCTTAATTCTACTGATTGACTTCTTATGGTGTGCATTGTTTGTTTTCTTCCTACCTGCCTTTCTTGCTCTCTCTTAAAAAGACTTCATTTGTTTATTTGAACAGTTTTAGGTTCAAGCAAAATTGAGAGGGAGGTACAGATTTCCCATATACGCCCCTGTTCCCACACATGCATAGCCTCCTCTCATTATCAACATCATCCGTCAGAATGGCACATTTGTTACAACTGATGAACCTACATTTGACTCATCATTATCACCCAAAGTCCATAGTTTACATTAGGATTCACTCTTGGTGTGGTGCATTCTTTGGGTTTGGACCAATGTATTTTCACTGCCCTAAAAATCCTCTGTGCTCTGCCTTTTTGTATCATCCTCCCCTCCACCCACGCCAAGCCCCGGCAACCACTGATCTTTTTGCTGTCTTCATAGTTTTGCCTTTTCCAAAATGTCATATTGGAATCCTACAGTATTTAGCCTTTTCAGTTTGACTTCTTTCACTTAGTAGTATGTATTTAAGTTTCCTCCATGTCTTTCATGGTTCGATAGCTCATTTCTTTTTAGCAATGAATAATTTATCCATTTATTTATCCATTCACCTACTAAAGCATGCCTTGGTTGTTTCTATTCTTTGGCGATTATGAATAAGCTGCTAAAGATATCTGTGTGCAGGTTTTTGTGTTGACATAAGTTCTCCTTTGGATAAATACCAAGGAGCATGACTGCTGTATCATGGTAAGAGCATGTTTTGTTTCATAAGAAACTGCGAAACTGTCTTTAAAAATGGCCACTGTCATTTTGAATTCCCACCAGCAATATGAGAGTTCCTGTTGCTCCATATCCACACCAGCATT